TTATTGGCTTAGAATGAGACGAGAGGACCCCTCGCAGGCCAGCTGCATGTAAGCATTCAGAGTCTGACCTTTTCATTCTGGCAGCTGCCCATTTGGCAAGCAATGAGAAACAGTCGGCCTCAATTCCCTGAGGATTAGATCTTGCGCGGTCGGTATGGTCTTTCAACTCCTTGATGGGCAGCACAGCAGACGGGGAGACTCTTCTTGTGAATATGACGTTGAAACTGGAGGCGTACAAGTCAATTCTGCTCGCATAGAGTGTCGCCGGCTGGCAACGGGCCGAATTCCTAGCTTCATGCTGCCAAGGATGCGGGGGAAATAACATCAAACACGAATGCCATCGCGTTCCCAGTCGTTGTTCGAGGCGCCCATGTTGTTCCATGAGTTGTTTGCATCTTTGAACTCTGATATGACTTTTAAGACTCTGTTTGTATTACCTTTTCCAGAAAATTGCAATGGCTCGGATGCAAAGTGTCGAATATTGGAGGTTGACGTTGGTGTAAGTGTTAAAGAATACCAGGGCCGTGTCCCCACCCCCACATTGCCCCTGGGCAGGCGACCACAACAGGCAGTGGAGATCGGCCCACGGCAACGCAGTCTGCCCCTGACACGCAGCGCTGATGGTGCCGCGAAATAATGGACAAGGCGCGAAGGAAGGAAGCTTCCGTTGGCCGTGAACTATCGGCAGGAGAAGTGGAAGCTTCCACCGTGCCCCGTAAGCACCAGCCGACTGCAACCGACTTGTCCTCTCGAGCCGCACAAGTTCGCAGTTTGCACGACTTCCAACTCTTTTAGATTCTGCAATGGCTCTCGGCCACCGTCCGCCGACTTCAAACTCCAATCTCTCAGTGTCCGCGCTCGAATGAAACGAACGGCACCATGCCGGTGACCTTGCCCCGATCGCGGTTCCAACGCCAGCTCGTGTCGCGGTCGACCATCCGGAAGCTTATCGCCGCCTTCATTATTTGGGCCATTGTCGAAGCTCAACTCATATACTACCGAGTCGCCCATGCCGAGAGAGACACCCAGGCCCAAGCTACAACACTTCTCAAGCCGACCCGTGTGTACATTGCGAGTCTGCACTGGAACAATGCCGCCATCCTGCGCTCCGACTGGAACAAGGGGGTCGTGGACCTGACCAAGGCTCTGGGAGCAGACAATGTCTTTGTCAGTGTGTACGAGAGCGGTAGCTGGGATGACTCCAAGGGCGCTCTCCGGGAGCTGGACCGCGAGTTGGGTGGGCTTGGAGTTCAGAGGCAGATCATACTCGACAAGGAAACGCACAAAGACGCGATAGACGCACCGCCAGCCGAACATGGATGGATTGCCAGCCCTGGTGGTGAGAAAAGGTTGAGAAGGATACCTTACCTGGCTGGCATGCGGAATCTCTCCCTCCAGCCACTACTCAATATGGCAGAGAACGGGACGACATTCGACTACGTGTTGTTCCTGGGCGATGTGGTGTTCTCAGTGAGTATTGGTGGCAATGGTCACTTGCGCCTGTCTTCGAAACCGCTCGCTAACATTTGTCTTCTTCCAGGTCCCTGATATCATCGCTCTACTGAACACAAACGACGGCCAATACGCTGCAGCATGCTCACTCGACTTCAGCAAGCCGCCTCGCTTCTACGACACCTTTGCCCTGCGAGATTGGGGCGGTCATGAATACGCGACCCAGACCTGGCCATACTTCCGGTCCTCCAAATCGAGAAAAGCGATGCTTCGTGGTGCTCCCGTGCCAGTATCCAGCTGTTGGAACGGGATTGTAGCAATGCACCCGTCTGTCTTCACGGGAGTCAAGGGCCTCAAATTTCGTGGAATCGACGACACTCTGGCTGAATACCACCTGGAGGGCTCTGAGTGCTGTCTCATTCATGCTGACAATCCCGCATCGCGTACCAGGGGTGTCTTCCTCAACCCCAATGTCCGGGTGGGATATTCCAGAAAGGCGTACGATGCGGTGCATCCGCCAGGAGGCTGGCTCTCTCTGTCGCAAGTCTTCTCTGGTTTATGGAAGAACAGGGCCGCCAGATGGTTTCAAACTCCGCTTTTCAAGGAGTTGCAGGTTCGCTGGCGCGTTCGAAAGTGGGCAGAGAAAGAGGAAGGTCGTGAGGAACCTGGACCCTTTTGCCTCATCAATGAGATGCAGGTCATTGTACACAACGGGTGGGCCCATTTATAGATGGTACGGGACTTCTTGGATAGACAAATACTAATTCTTTTACGTTTCTATTCACCCACGCGGCGATCAACGGCATTGGCCGATCGGGAGTCTCTCGCTAGAACAGTCAACAGGAACCCTCGGTTTTGAAGACAATGCCAGGGGTAATTGTCTGTCTTTCAAGGTTCTCGGCTGTTGTTGGAGCGACTGACTCGGAAACAAATCGCTTTGGTGTTGTTTACCTCTAGCTCCTCTGGGTGTGGGCCGTCCCTCGTCGACGACATCATGAATGATATCACGACTCCGCGTCCTCCAATTGGGTACGGGGCAAATCCTCCACCCAGTGCCACTGCCACCAACTTTGAACATGCATGCAATTGGATTACGATGCAGCCGTTACCCTGCTCAACACAACTGTCTCACGATGCACAGCATCGACTTTGACAATAAACAGGCTTTTCGGTCGACTAGTCTCTTCTTGGCTCGAGTTCCGACAAGGCGATCGTTCCTACCTCGCAGATCGGGACATCTGGCAAGCCATTCTGGCCAGAACCATATCCAGATCCGGCCATTGGATGTCCACTAAAACCCCAAAGACAATGCACACGACTCGATCAACGGCGTCACTACTAATGGTCGTGGGGGTATAGGGGAAGAGGGGGCATACTTGACCATTTCCCTTCCCGACCGCGGGCTGTCTGCCTTCTCTCTCCTCTCCGTTAGCCATCAGAGATCTGACCAACAAAACCTAAGTCACGGCTCACTCTCTGACATGGCACCCGCAGAGCCAAATGCCATCCCGTTCCGCCCAAAAGGTGAGATACCCGTTTTCGAGGAGGAGCGGGAAGGTTGGAAGGGATACATTGAATGGGAACTGTACCCCGAGAAGAAGAAGCAGGTGGAGGAGATCCTGAAGCAATATGACTTTCCCGATCCTCCAGAGTTCCAGCTCGTCCCGTTGCCGAAGACGAATCCGATCTTTACTGGAGAGCGGTTCAAACAGTACCACTATGCTACAGGGCTCGGCCATCTCGTCGACACCAGCTGGCAGTATGTACTGAAGGAAAAGGCCGCGGACATGACGCATGTTCTCCAGTTTCCCTACAATGGAGAACCCCCCGGAGTAAGTCTGACAGCCATGATCTTCCGTGTCGGGAGACAATGTACACATCTAACCAAGAGCTTCGCTGTGTCCAGGACCGCCTTGTATCCACCGAGATCACCCGCAACGAGGACTTCTTCGTCCGCAACCATGGCGGCGTTCCAGAAATCGATCCTGAGAAGTTCTATCTCGATATCGAGGGCCTCGTCAACAACCCCAAGCGTCTCACCCTTGCCGACCTGCAGAACGAAGAGCTTTTTCCTCGCCAGACCAACGTCGTCAGTCTCCAATGCTCCGGCACTCGTCGACTTGAACAAATCCACCAATATCCCGGTGATGGCGATGAGCTTATCAACGCTCCCTGGGCCGAAGGCGCCATCGGTGCCGCCCGCTGGACCGGTGTCTCTCTGAAGAAGGTGATCAAGTACTGTGGTGGATTGAAGGACGGCGCAATGCACGTCGAGCTTTTCGGTGCCGATACCTACTTCAAGAAGGGCAAGGTGTACAACTACGTCGTTTCCGTTCCCTGGCGCAAGGTCAAGATCAACGAAGTGCTCCTGGCCTGGGAGATGAACGGCGAGCCGCTGCCCAAGCTCCACGGCTTCCCACTACGAGCGGTCGTCTTCGGCTACATCGGCGCCAGAAGCTGCAAGTGGCTATACAAGATCCGCGGTATCAAGGACCCGAGTGAAGCGCCCGTCCAGAGAAAGGAGTACCTCTACTATACCCCGCAGATCGGCAAGCAGAACGCCATGTACAGCAACGGCTTCTCGATTCAGGACATGCCTGTGTCTTCGGCGATTATCTCACCCAAGGATATGGATGTCATTACACACGACGGAAAGGTCAAGCTGAAGGGCTGGGCGTACTCGGGTGGCGGACACTGGCCGATTCGCGTGGAGGTCAGTCCGGATGGAGGCGCCATTTGGTATGAAGTGCCGACGGAGAATATGTCGACCAAGTATTACTATGCTTGGAGACTGTGGGAGATTGATATGCCTCTTGATCCTGAGGGCTGGCTGGAGTTTTGCGTGAGGACGTGGGATAATGCGCTGAACACGCAGCCCACCTATGTCAGATCTGCTTGGTGAGTGCTTTCCCCCCCCTCCCTTTTGATATTTCTGGATTGGTGAAGATACTAACCAAAGGCCAACTACAGGAACTGGGATCTGCACGTCACTTCCTCTTGCCATCGTATCAAGATCTATAGCGTCAACCGCTCGAAACCCGCTACCGCAGCTCGGTTGAAGGCGTTGGAGGAGAAGGGCTTATCGATCACGCCCATTACAAAACCTTTGGCGCTCGAACTCGAGACGGATGAGCAATACGAGGCGTCCATGAACGAGCAGCGCGGACGGGAGCCTCTGGAGTAAGGATGCCTGGGCAGTTACTGATACGGTAGGCGTCTCAAGTCGGGGGGCCATCTTATACGAATTCTTGTGTGCACCTTGCTTCGCTTTGTCGAAATTTACATCTTTTCAAACATCCTGAACTCATATTCACCCATGATGGTTCCAGCTCATAAGCATTCATCATGGTCATTGAGTGTATACAAGTCATTTACCAGATTCCTGCAAAAGGGAAGTCATAATGAAATTCGACATCCCTGGTATGGGGGTTGAAGGAAACTAACAATTGTCAAGTCAAGATCCCGATCGCCGAGCAAAAAAGAAGGATGTTTTTGAACCCCAGGGGACCCTTGGAGATCGATCGATCGCATCCACAGCAACAGCAAAAAGCCCAACGTGGGACTCGAACCCACAGCCTCAAGATTGCGATCTCGAAGGAGATAGAAGTCTTGCGCGCTACCGATTGCGCCAGCCGGGCAAGATTGTTGTTTTGGTCGCTTAGTTTGTAAGGTTATATCGGAAGTTTTCGTACACCATGTAAAAAAAGACAAGGAGACCAACCTTTGGCATCATAGACACTAAAACCATCAACTTAACCATTTGTTATATGGCTTGAAACCTGAAAACTCTCACGGTGATTTGGTGAAATTTTTGTATAGTAGTTCGTTCCCAAGAAATATCGTGCATCGAACGTCCTGAGACGCCCCCGCTCTCCAGGAGCCGCAATTAGTCACATCTGCCGAAAGGAGATACAAGCGAGAAAGGTAATAGCAGCGTGAGTGGGAGTACGACTTCCTTGTCAGTTTGGAGGGTTCCTCGCACTTTTGCAATAAATACGCAAAGCGCTCAAGAAGAAAGTCTCTGCTTATTCTCAGCATGGTAGGGATAGTGTCTTACTAGTCTTAAGTGTAACATCAGCCCAAACAAGCTAAGCAAGCGGGTTTAGCTCAGTTGGGAGAGCGTCAGACTGAAGTCCACTTCACTCATAAATCTGAAGGTCGTGTGTTCGATCCACACAAACCGCATCTCTTTTTGCAATTTTTTGCTCTTGATTTTACACCCTCTTTATCTGGGTCTCCATGCTCTCTCTCATTGTTTCCTTTTCATCTTGGATGTTGCAAGTCTTCAGAGACAGAAAGAACGATGTAGGATTTCTGACAACCTTCGCACCTTTTTTGCATGCTTCTCTCGGTTGTTCAAGTTGTTAATGACGTCGAGTGCGTAAGACTATTGAAGCGGAAGGTGCCAGAAGAGGAAGAAGAAGTGAGAAGGGTTGCATCATCAGACAGCTTAGTCTCTGAACTGATGAAGACTTCATGTGTGTTCATTTTTAAGCAGACTTCGGAGACTTCAGCTCGTGAGCATGGCGTTGTGATTGGGGCTGACTAGCTGACTGACCCTTCACGCCCTTCAATCCGTTTCTGGCTTCTGGACCTTTTCATCTTTGGTGGCAGGTGGGAACAATTGATGATCATGTTCCTGAAAAAGATAAGAGTAGATCTCCCAGGACCAAGATCTTGATTTGCAGTGACAGGAATTGTCCAACCTTACGTGAGCTCCGTGACGTCGATCTAGAGAAAATTTTCCCATACACTACGTGATGTTGTTGCGTGGGCTTCAATATTGTTGATAAAATTGGGTAGTTGGCATACGGAGTGTACTTAACCTTCCCCCCAGCTTTAGCCAAGATCAACGTCACTTCAACTCCGCATCTTGCGGCCCTGTAAGAAGAGCCCGCCGCAGATGCATCCCGCGACGGACATGCAACATCCCGACACCCCATCATCATCTGTCACACCTTGTCAAGAAAAGAAGTTTGGAATTTTCATTGCAAGAAGAAGATAACAGCACAATGCGAAGCGAAAATCATACCCCTAGACCAATAGCCCTTGGTTGTTGTAAGTTTGTCCCAATATTGCCTTTATATTGTGGAAAACTATGGGACTCGTACACAACTTCTACCTGCCGACGTAGGGCAAAAGACAAAACATTGAGACCATCAACGTTCCATGAATTCGAAGAGCAAAGATTATGCCCAAGAGAGAAACTAGCTTGCAAAGACCCAGACACGCGAAGTCAGTCCACACATCTCCCTCCTGTCATCGATCTCTCCTTTACGTCTATGCCCGTACCGTCCGGGATCTCCCCGATATTTCGGCTTTGAAGATCCGGTTTTCCTGCCAATTACACGGTCCCACCACGGCCGGGCCCAGCTGTGTCACGGTGCTTCTATGTTTGGGCTACGAGTAGAACACATTCGGGAACTTCCTCATGTCTTATCAGGTACATACAATCATGCCGATCTCATCTTGAAATGTGTATTCGTTATTCTTCTCTTCAATGCTTCCTATTCCTAGTACTGTCGTCGACTGTGCACCGATGGCATGGATGATGTCGTAATTTGTTTGTTTCTTTATATGAAATTATCGACGCACCGCTTTGGTTCTCTCTTTCTCACGGTTCATCAACACATCCCGAGTGTAGCCGCATCTTATTTCTTCTACCATAACAATGCATCGCACGTTGAACTGAACCATAAAAATTGTTTCAAGAAAACCCTGACATATATAAACGACACTGTTCCCATAAACTGATTTTTGTACTGCCCAGCCAAACCCGAACGCCAAGAAATATCACCCAAAACTCTACTCCGTATTACGGCAACTTGGGGGTATTGGAGAGCTCGCTCAGACTGGAACTCACCCGTCTCGAAACAGGTGGTGATCGGGATTTAGTCCGCGGCGACTCATCCTCAGTGAAAGCCACGGAAGTTTCGCCGTTCAAACCAGCAGAAGTCGATAGCTTGGTGCGCAATAGTACATCTTCAACGTATTCCGTCAAGGGAAGTAGGGAACGCCGCCGTCGTAGCGTGATTCAGATCCGGGTCGCGAATCATCACTTAAGCATGCGTCTCCAAAACTAACCGGCCAAAGATCTTCTAATATGACGGCAGAACAATTCTCGATGTCTTTGATCAGACATTCACCAAGTTTGCCCCACAAGTTGCCGATGCCGTCGTTGGGGAAATCAGTTTCCACTAATTCCTCAGTATCGTAAGGTGAGATGAAATCACCACCATCTCCGTCATGCTCCTGACACCATTGTCGCCAAGAGTCAAGAAATCCTTCTTTGCTCGGAGTGGCTGTGGATCTAAAACAGTAATCGAGATAGTCGCATAAGGCCGAGATGTGGTAAGGGTAAATTTTGACTCCCAGCAAATGTACAAGGACGAAGGTTCCGTAGTGGCAGGGTGCGGCCTGTTGATCCTCTTCTTTGGACATTTGAATATTCTGTAAAAACCGCTTATCTGCCGCATCGAATTGAAAATTCAGGTAGCGGAGGTTGATTGGCTTTTCGATTTTCGTCTTCTTAATAACCCACCGATGGTCGTTGTCGGCACGTGTTATCCATGGCAAACCGAGGAGAAAGGGAACGGTACAGCCGAACATTTTCTCATGCCCTTTATAGCGCAACTCTCTTTTCAAGACCTGGACCGGTTGCATGCTCTCGATTTTATGATCAGCCCCATACGCACATTCGAAGAATGGGTTGTTGAAGTCGGTGATCTTGATACCAGGTACCGAAGGTAGCTTATTGCGGCTTGGATCAGGGTTGCATAGCCCGACATCCTCGAACTTCAATTTGTCCAGTGCAAACACAATGTCACGGCCGGTAACATCTTCGAGGTTGAGGCGCGGTGTTCGTTCAAGCGACCACGACAGTGCCGCAATAACCACTATCCCGGGAAGCAAGGGGGTGAGCCCTTTGGTCAGGACAGCCAGGGATTGGTTGACCTCATGTGGAAAGAACTCATCCAGATGGCTATAGGATGCCACTAACACGAAGTTGCTCATCGTGGTCACGGGGACATGTCTGGGGGTGGTAACACTGAGGTCTTGGTGAAACGTTTGCAGACCTCCTTTGGACTTCCAATAACTGACGATGTCCGGATTCGTGACAGAAAGATATGATGAAACCTCATCAATTTCTTCGAGCAGACCCTAACAGCAGACTGGATTGGTTCGGTTTCTGACTGGGAAGTAAACAAGGCGGCGGTGAGCGGGACCCGGGCGTTGGCTGTGTTCGAATTGACGGCAAAGAGGTGACTGGGCCGAATGTATATTCTCGAACTCCGTAACGTGGGAGCTAGAACACCACCCAATCTCTGACTTGTCGCCGCAATGCATGCACATGTAGTAAGCTAATTTGTCGCACATGACGCACAATTTTGAGGTAGCTTTGGGGGGTAATCGGTCCTCGGGTATTATCTCGTTTCTGATCTCAATGACGAACTCCGGAATATCCGCTTCATGGTTGACCCATGTCGATCTTGAAGTGTTGCTAGGGCTGCTGCTCCCCGAGTCATCAGAGAACTGCGCTGATTCGTCTTCCCTTTTGTTCTCTCCAGAGCTGGAAGATCGAACATGTATCTTGACACGCTTTCTGACGGCATGTATACTTGAAGCGCTGTAAGGGCCTTCCGCGCCCTCGGCCTCACTGGTCGGTCGTGATGATGGCAGTGGTTTGTGCTTGCGTTTGATATTGCTGTTTTGGCTCTCCGGAGGAACAGATGAGGGCGATGATGCGGGAAGCATGCTTGAGACACATTCGATACCCCAAAGGGTGCCGTGTTAGGAAGGGTTGGATTATCGTCTGTGGCAAGCCTCTGCCTGAAATAAAGAATGGATCGTAAGTGGAATGTCTGGAATAATGGCAATCAGAGACCTAAAGGTTGAGAGGTTGAGTGGGAGAACTTTGTTCGTTGCCAGAAGGAGTGGAAGGTTGAGTGATCACCGCATGATGGCCAAAGTCCCCGTTGTGATAGCTTATGCCTTTCCCGATATGCAGATACCGACCACCCTGAGCCGTACCTTCCTTTTGAGAGATGCCAAACAGAGAGTTCCTTTCATTCAGGACTTGTCCCTTCGTTGTACCTAGGCGGGTGTCTGCAGTAAATGATTCCAGGTTGGTGGGTCCTGACAAACTGGAAGAAAATAGGGAAGGAGTCATATGCCATATGTTGGGTACCTTGATAGACACCTCTCGGGTCTCTTTGCTCTGAGCATACTTATTGGCCGAATGCCCACAAGGATATGCTGCCATGGCAAGGTCGATTTGTTCTTTCACCTTTCTCTCACTTTTTGTCTGTCTGAACCTTCAATCCGCTCCGTTCTCTTTTTCTCGTCTTGAAAGAAATATATTTTGAAGCCATCAAAGTACTTTCGTTTGTCCACCGCGCTTCCACCTTGCCTCTACATCCACTTCCATCTCTTGGCTTATTTCGTCTCTTTCCTGCCGGCACGATGGAAAGAAACAGGCACTCATCAAGCTGCGCGACTGCTTTCTCGGGCGCGTCGACCATGGACTCGGGGCCCACGAGTTTCCCAGAGATGGAAGCAGAGGATCCCTACCTCCCAAATCTCTGGATATGCGATGTGAAGCTCACAGACGACCAGGAGCTCGTCATGGAGCATCTCA